ATAATAATAATAATAATATTATTTTGTGGTTATCTCAACCTAATTTCGTAATTCCTGGGAAATAATGCTACAAAACAAAAAAAAAAAGTTGTGATGGAGAACTGAACACATTCACAAAGCTTTCTAGAGTTTGAGGGTGGGGTTAAGCAGTAATCAGAGAAGAAAATTATCAGTATAAAATCAATGGATTTTCTCCACCCATATGCATCAGTGTGTTTTAATTAAGAGTCAAGGCTCTTGACTCTTTAATATCTCTTTTATCTTCACCTGTATCTCCTGTGATCATTCTGACCTATTTATTATCCTTATTTAGTTCTTCTATTTTGAATGTTACCTCCATAATCAAGTGAGGAACATAAGAATTAGCCTGTGGTGGGGGGATGGGATGGACAAAGAAGAAAGAAAGAAAAAAAACAAAAACACAAAAAAACAACAAAAAAAACCCCCACAAAAAAAACCCTCAACAAAACCAACCCAAACAAAACAAAACAAAAAAACCCAAAACCAAAAAAACCACCACGACACCACCATAATGAAATGTATCCTAATCCATTGTTGTCACCCAAAGGTACAAACGGTGCTCGAAGCATTACTTAATACTCTTGTGCCAATCTCCTGCCTACAAACCGTCAGAATCTTTACTAAAAAAGAAACAACTGAATTAATTAAGAATTTCTGAGCCTTAAAGCCTGTCTGCTTTTAGTTCCCATCAACTTCCACATACCTATATCTTTCCTTGAGGCAATTTTTTATTAAAACTATTGCCTAGCAAAGAAGTCAGCTGGCTGACGAATAAGCTGCATATGTTGTAGGGAGTTATGAAAAATGATAAAATGGCCGTCTGATCTATCAATCTTAAGCACAAGTATCCCAGCCTTTTGTGACAGTTTATAACATACTGGCCACACTACTTATTTTCCATGTTGTAGGTTTATCTGCAGGCATTTCTGCAACCCCATTATTACTTGAGTGGCTGAATAGCTCCCTTGCAAATTAGCTGACAGATTAGATCTACTGAAGAGTCTCTGTTTCTGTGTGTGTTGGTGTATGACTGAGCACGCACAAAACACTTGATGGGCATGCACTGTGCTGCACACCACAGTATTCCTGAAACATGTTCACTGAAGTGAGTGAGGAGTTGACTGACCAAGCAATTTCTTCAATTATTTCTAAGAAACCTGCTCGTTACCGAAGAGCTATAAGTTATGACAGTAAGGAGTACTACATGCGCCTGGCTTCTGGAAACCCTGCGGTCTTTCAGGATGCTATAGAAGAGAATACAGTGGGGGAAACAACTCAGCAGGAGCCAGAACACGGGGAGGACACTATTGCAAGAGTCAAAGGTTAGATCATTTGTTCTGTCCTGAACCATTTTCTTTAAATTTATCTGCCTTTATATCTTCTCATGCATTTGCATTAAGGTAAGCATAAGGATCCTGTAGGACTCTTGTTTTTCTGTCTTAGCATTGGATCAGTAATTTCAAAGTTCAATAGGTTTTGTGAAGTGAATTTTTTATGTGTCAGGTTTTTATTTATCTATCTCTGTTCTTCTTTTCCAGGCCTCGTGAAGCCTCCCCTGAAACGATCTCGCTCTGCTCCTGACGGAGGAGATGATGAGAACCAGGACCAATCACAGGATCAAATTGTTGAGGGGAGTTCAATTGACGAAGAGGAGAAGACTGACAATACAACTTTGCTTCGACTTCTCGAAGAAGGAGAGAAGGTACTGTGTATTTCAAACACACTAAGCGTTTACTGTATTGGAATTTCTGCGTTACATGTCGCAAGCATCAATAAATGTCCTAAATACCTTCCCTGATCTACAGCTGAATTTGCTTAATATTTTGTCAGCTTCTTCCTTGAAGCTCTGGTTCAAAGACATACTAAGCTGAAAACCCTGTACCGGAAACATTCTTTTTCATTCCTTCTGCCTGCTAGGGAAAAAAGAACCTGTCCTGAAATGAAAGCTGCGAGCTATCCCATGCTTGGATTATTATCCTGTCGGCTTAATGAGTCCGGACAGAAAATATATGTTGAAAATATAAATACTGATCTTGGCAGACTGTCTATAATTACATGTTCCCTTCATTAGAATGAAAAACCTTGATAACTAGTATTTTATCCCCGAGAACAGTGTTGAACGACCATGCTGCGTATTTGGTATTTCAGACTTTGTCTGTCTGAAATATACCAGTAAATACATTTGTGATCATAGTCGAGTGGGCTACAGGTTCTAAAATATGCTCAAGAAGCACGGTGCGAGTGGATGAGTTGGTAAATATATAAATCTATATCATACAGAGGAGGCTTTATTTAACTCCCTTCCCAATTGCTAATCGCAGGTGTTAGGTATATCTCTGATTAAGGGGGGAAATAGCAGAATTTTTGCTGTATCTGCAAGTGATAAAGCAGTGTCTGGGTTTTGTTCTAACAAAGCAACGGTCTGAGCCTGAGCTTGTTAACCTGCTCTTGCTAAGTGTCTGCTTTTCATTACAGATTCAGCATATGTACCGCTGTGCTCGGGTTCAGGGCCTTGACACCAGCGAAGGGCTGCTTCTCTTTGGGAAAGAGCACTTCTATGTCATTGACGGATTTACCATGACAGCCACCAGAGAAATACGGGATATTGAGACACTGCCTCCAAAGTGAGTAGATTAATAGAGAGTTTCCTCAATCTTTAATAGCGGAACAAGAAGTATTTAATGAGATTTTTGAGGAGTCGGCTCCAAAATGATGTCAGATTCAGAAAGACCTCAGAAGCAGTTTCCCCTGTGCTCACAAATTGCTCAGTGTAGTATGGTATACCATGAAAATCAGCTGTTTCTATAACTGGACTCGAATATGAATTAAGAGAATAATTCTTTTCATTTATCTTCTTTTTAAGCACTTCTCTCTTGCCTGTTTATGCTCATTTACAGGATGCATGAGCCAATCATACCTAGGGGAGCAAGGCAAGGTCCAAGTCAACTCAAAAGAACATGCAGCATTTTTGCATATGAAGATATCAAGGAAGTACATAAAAGGAGATACCTTTTACAGGTAACTTGGACGCTGTATTTGGAATGAGGAGCCAACTTTGGAATTTTTTGACGATGTTGTTATTTTTAAAAAGTAAAATACGTAACTGATCAATATTTGGAAAGTGAAGCTACTCACTGTGTTGAAATTGAAGTGCTTAAGTTGGGCATCCTTGTTTGAACATTTGGCTTACCATGGTTTCGTTCATTGGGTGTATTAGTGAATTTTAGTGTTCTGAAAATAAAACGTGGCCGCACTAAGCAAAGTCTGCTTCACCATAATTTGGTGTCAGATGTAGTACAGTATGACTAAACTGGTCTGCACCTGACCTTTAGAGGTGACGAGCAAATGTGTTGACATGGGTTTTGTACTCTTTGTTTTCAGCCAATTGCAATTGAAGTTTTCTCAGGAGACGGACGGAACTATCTTCTAGCTTTCCAAAAAGGGGTTAGAAACAAAGTTTATCAAAGGTATTGTGAAATAAGTTAGAACATTTAATCTGAATATGTGCAAATAACTGTGTTGACCCATATTTGAGCCTACAGTAACCTAACATCCAGAAGCAGATTGCAGGAGTGATGGGTATTAGGTAGTGGATAACCTGATAGCAACTTAGTGCTGCATGAAAGAATCACTAGGAAGCGCTAATGCCTGCGTGCAAAACTTGCGGTATGCGTTCCGTGAGAAAAGGGTCATTCCAATTTTGTTGAAGATGTTACGTAGCTGCTCAAAACAAAGTCTGTAACTGTACTAAACGCACTCTTTCTAAGGAGAAGACATACTGAGGACAGAAACACTAATCTTAATTTCCTTCTAACTGCCGATGCAGGTTTTTGGCTGTGGTGCCATCTCTAACTGACAGTTCGGAGTCAGTGTCTGGGCAGAGACCAAACACCAGCGTAGAACAAGGGTAGGTGAATCTGTTACTCACAAGCTCTGTAGCTCATCAGTTTCAAATAAATGATTACGGTCAGGATTCACTGGACAGTTCTGCAACCTCAATTTAAAATTGGGCATTACCAAAATAAATAGCTAGTGATGTTGCACTGCAGTTATTTTAAATGTACTAATATAATTTGCAGCATTGGTATATCTTCTTACTAATTACTACATGCTATCAGGATTGACATTATCAGTATACAGATACGTTCTGAAAGGAATTGGAGTGCCAAAGCCATTAGATTTGTCCAAGTTGTTGAAGATATTTTCCTCAGCAGCCTGTTAGATACATTTGTACTTGCACTGAATTCCATAATTAATGTGTGTAATTTTAACAGTCTTGGGAATAAAACAGTCTTTAGAAATAAAAATGGCACTGCTAAAGCAAAAAGGAACAAAGCCCCATTTTTCTAATTGTTAAAATTTACAAGTTTTAATCTTAAAACTTTGGATTGTCTTGTGAAGATGTAACCCAGTTCTTACTGCTAAGTCAGAAAATGCACTTCCTTCTTCCCATTAGGTCTGGCTTGCTTAGCACTTTAGTGGGAGAAAAATCTGTTACTCAAAGATGGGAAGTAAGTATGAAAATTTTGGGGGGGGTTTGTATTAAATTCCACATTTTGTAGTGATACGTAATTAATCAGTGCACATAAGTTGCATCCTCTTATTCAAGTAGGTGGAATATACTAGTCTAGAAAAGGTATCTTAGCATTTTAGTTGTAGCATTTCATGATACCACATCGCACAGGAAATGGTTCTACCATTGAAAATGCAAGGGGAGGGACCGTAGTAAAAGTAGAGTGAGCATTGTAATATTGAAGTAAGTTTCGTATGTCTGGGGAGAGCTGAGCACTTTGACAGTCTGGAAGCATAGACATTTGGTTGTTGTAAAGTGAACACTGTACAGTGCTGTTATCTGTCTTCCTTAAGAGAGGAGAAATCAGTAACTTCCAGTACCTGATGCACTTAAACACTCTGGCGGGCAGATCCTATAATGATCTCATGCAGTACCCTGTCTTTCCCTGGATCCTCGCAGACTATGATTCAGAGGTAAATAAAATATCTTGTCAGCCTTGTCAGTAATCTTTTATATGTTGAAGGTTTTGCAAATATTACAGCTGGCTCATACTGCCTTGGTAAAACCGAGGCTTATCTTTATTGCCAGTTGTTTGATTTGATGTGTTTTGTATTGTTCCTCCCACTTATCAGTGGGTAGGATATTAGAGATTCTTGGCTGTCCCATGCAGCCGGGTCCTTGCCTGCGCTGATTTTACAGATGTTACTGGACTGTGCACAGGTGAGGACTGTGCACAGGTGAGAGCCAGAATACATAGGCAGTTGCCTCTCTTATGTTGCAGCAGTTCCTGTAAGTCTTTGCATTAGCTTTCTACTGAATATGCTGAAGGATTTTATGCCCACAGAGAGATCATGCTTGTCCAGAAGACTGTGGTAGGGGCTACTACAAAATCTGGCCCCATGGTGAAGAATTTGCTTTTGAAAAAGATGAAACATCCTATTAATGCTTTTGTGGGCAGCTGTTGCTACCAGCCAGACCGTAACATAAAATATTGTTAGGGTGCATGTCGATATTCAAGAACGGAATTAGGGGGAATTGGGGAACAGGATGAGGGGAGCAGGGCAAAAATTATCCAAAACCCAGATGTGACTCAAAATAAAATACACTGACTCCCTTAGATCAGACTGAAGGACTGTTTTAAGCATATCTAACATTGCACCTGCTGTGTGTGTAGAAAACAAAGATGACAGCCTTAGGAGGTATGTGGTGTTAAATACGGTGATCAGCAGTGTTGAAAAGTGTGTGTTTGGTTTTGGAGGTTTTTTTTATGAAATTGGTGTCTGTTTTATTTTTAAAGGAACTGGATCTTACGAATCCCAAGACATTCAGAAACTTGGCCAAGCCCATGGGAGCTCAAACAGAAGACAGGTTAGCCCAGTACAAGAAGCGATACAAAGATTGGGAAGATCCCAATGGTAAGTAATCATACGTCTGGCAGGAAGAGCAGAGGGACATGTGCCTGTCACATGGTGGGAGGAAGTCATGGGGTTTTGTATTGTGGGTCAAGAGGTCTCTGGATGTGGATATGCAGAACTCTACTGTAGTTTTTAGTGACTCTCCAACAAATACTAAATTAAAGCAAAGGGTCATTGGTTTTCTTGCTGTGTCGTTAGTTCTAAGTCCAAATGACAGCTTTTGTTTATATGTAAAAATAAAGACAAAACAGTTGCACCGTCAGAACAGTTTAACATTGTCTAAAGGCTAGAATGGGCAGACACATGAAGCACACAACCAGCTGTCTCTACTAATACAGTTTGAGTGCTGCTGCAAGAAAATAATTTGTACAAAAGAATAGGAATACTTCTGCATTAGCAGTACTCTAGCTTTTTCATTTCTTATCTTAATGCATGTTTTTTTGCTAAGGAAACAGCATTTTCTTAGCTAAAAAAAAAAACCTCAGAATGAGATGCAATTAAGTTATGTATTCTTGATTTTAGAGCTTCCTTATATATTGAAAATAAAACTTGTGTGTTTGGCAAGGCAGCTATTATATGATACATTTCTTCTTGTGTGCCCTTATTGAAGACACAAGCCTGTTTAACTACTGCGGTGCTGTTCTGTATCAAACAACAGCAGGTGGCAAAGACGTTCATTTCTAGAAATGAATCAGTATGTTCTAAGTGTATTTATGCAGACTTTTTGCCAGGAAATTAAGAAAGTAAAAGCTGTACAAAATCTGTAGCCAACAATTCTGAGACTAAATAAGACTAAAAGTTTAAAAAAAAAAAAAGTTCCTTCAGCAGAAATCACTATAGCTGCACTGCAATATTTCAATTAGTTAAACTAAAAAATGACTAACCATTCAGTATTGCTCTGCAGAAGCCCATTGAATTAGGGCTACTGGACTGCAGCCAAAACTCAGGTGGTGGCTGTGACAAAACATAAAGCTTTCAGATTCTCAAGAATGAAAATTACAAATTCCAATTTTAAATGTGTCCAAGGTCACAGAGTAATTAAAATGCAGCACTAATTAAATTTTTTTTCAGTTACTGATTCTGTCACCTAACTGCTTTATTTGTTCTATGTTTATGATTTTTAATCTCCTGCAGGGGAAACTCCAGCTTACCACTATGGGACCCACTATTCATCGGCCATGATAGTGGCTTCCTATCTTGTCCGGATGGAGCCTTTTACTCAGATTTTCTTAAGGTTACAGGTAAAAATTACATCACCTCACTTTGTGTTTCTTTCCTGCTGTACATTTGAGACCTAAGTGAAAAATACGGTGTCGGCTTTGTTTTTATCGAATATGGTAGAAGAAATATTTTTAGCAGTTTTGTTATCACCTTGGAGGTTTTTGATGTTTCTTTGTAAAAGATGTAGTGGAATTCACATTTTTTTCTTGCAGTTTGAACATTTTTCTAAATATATGCAGAAAAAAATATCAGCAGACAAAAAACAAAGGAAGTTTTATTGTGAAAAATACTTTGTTCATCATGCTTTATTTGCCTGTTGTTGAAAGAATTATATGCCAGTTGTTTAGTTCTGTTTAGTTCTAGTTAAAAGACTGTTACTTTAAACCAATATGTCTACCCAAAGAGCCATTTTAGTACTGAGTGTTAAAATAAACAAATGTTTGCAGAGCCTGGAATTGTTTGCCAGTTTGATGGGTAATGAGGTTTGTAACATTATGTGTCAAATATTTCCCTAGACAGAAGCCATCAGGCAAAAAGATTTGTGTTTCTCTGGAAGAGGCTAAACTTTGAAATAGAACTAGATGACTCTCTTCTTAAAATTCTGTATATCTGTATCTCAGTGCTTTATATTTACTATTATTGTGTACCAAAAGTAATGCAGCTGTTTAAATCTGTTGTGTTAGAGGAAGAAACATGCTACATTTTATAGTGTCTTTATTAGGCAGAGGATGTTCTGATTTGCCTTCTTGGCAAAATCTGCTGTGCTGAGAGAGACTCCAATGCTGACATGCTTCTCGCTCTGTCCCGCAGGGCGGTCACTTTGACCTGGCTGACCGAATGTTTCACAGCGTGCGGGAGGCTTGGTATTCAGCGTCGAAGCACAATATGGCAGACGTGAAGGAGCTCATCCCAGAGTTCTTCTACCTCCCCGAGTTCCTGCTCAATTCCAACAATTTTGACCTAGGTACTCAGAAAAAGCTTGATAGCATTGCTACGGGTGTGAGAGCAGTGCCAGACAGTCTGACATGAGGAAAGTGTCTCGTAATACGGGCAGAAAAAAATCTGTTTAACTGTGTGAGAAAATGATAGATGACTTGCACTTTCTGACATGAAAGCATAAGCAGGACTACTTCTGATATTTCCTGATACTACATGTTTATTCAACATTATATTTGAAAGTCTGAGTAATTCAGAACTCATTGTTTCATCGGGAAGAGTGTAGCAGGAATTCTTATTTCCTCTGTGATACCTCGGGTTTATTTTTTCAGATTTATCAGACTTAAGATATTTTCTCAAGCAGTGAGTGTTCATTTTAAGCAGGTAATGCAAAGTTTGTTCTGAGAATTGCTGAGCAAGACACTGAAATACCCAAACAGGATTTTTGTTTGGAGTGGCGTGTTTTAGTTGATTTTTGGTTTTTTACCAGTTCAAAACGCACAGATAATCATGTTTTACTTGGAGTTTCTCTGGTTTGCATTTTTCTCCATGTAACTTGCTACTCCATGATGGTGTTCACCATCTTTTTTGCATATTTTTTTAAGCTTTGCAAAATCTGTTTGACAGTCTTCACTTTTAGAACTTCCTCTTAAAGTATTCCTACAGGTTTTGTTGAAATGTCACAGTTAGCTTTTGTGAGAGTGATTATTCAACAGGAGTCAAATTTCACACCTATTGGCCATAGGAGATACGTGTTCCTTAGTACATATGTCACTCTTAACAGTGGCATTAAGCTCTTGCTTTCTGAGCTCTGTGCTGTGAATCTAATAGCAATAATAAAGATTAATCAAGTCGTAGGTTTTAATGGCCTCAAATCCTTTATTCAAAATGTATTGTAAGAGATTGGAAGCACAACCTTACAAAAACAAAAGCAGAACCAAAAGAACATGCCACAAAACATCTCCCAAATATGTTTCCGGTATGGCCATTACCGGAAAAATGTTGAGGTCTTGTCCACTTAGGTCCGTATCTGATAATTTTGGACTCTGACCATCAGAGTCCTAGAAATTCTTCATTGAGCATTTGGAACAACAGTAGAAAAGGTTTTGTTATGAACAACTGTCAAACACTGTGTCATACTTTTGACTGTGTTAATTCGTAGCAATCCCGCTCCCCTTCCCCCAGATAAAAAGAGAAGATGATTCAAAGTCTGGTGATGCAAGCAATGTTTCTGTTGGAGCAATGTACTTAGTACTCGTGTACCCCTGTAAACTTGGAAATTTGTTGGTGTTCCTCTGAGCTAATAGGAAGCATGGAATTGTCTCTTGGCAACAAGCAACAAAACAAGAATATAACTAGGAAGTTTTAACAAATACATTTTTAGTAATCGCAACATGCCACCATTTAACGTTCAGAGTGGGAAGGGGGCAATTTGGGACCTGGATGAATATATGTGGCCAGACCATGCCCAGGGGAATCACCAATGTCCTTGGGTATGAAGCTTGTGGAGGATACCAGTTAGCTCTTCACTGTTAGGAAATGAATATTTAGCCTGTACTCCTGTGACGTGTAGCCATTCTCATGGGTAAAACAATAATTCCATTCCTCGATACAGAATGTTTGTACTGTGAAGAAAATAAATCCTGGGATGAAATACTGTTCCACCAAGGCTTCTCAGTACAGTTTGCTGTTACACTGACTCATACTGGGATTTATTTTCTTCAAAATATACTCAATTGACATGCCATTGCTATATACATACTAAACAGATGCCAAATACAGGAAATTATGTCTTCTCTTAAATTGGGGCTGTAGCACACTTATTCCAGTTTTCCTCATGGAATAAGAACAAGGAAGTCGAAAAGAGATAAGAAAATGAACCTTGCTGTGCTGATTCCTCTGGGTGCAAAATGGACAGCTGCTGTGGTGGCAGTTCCCGGTAGCAGGGTTTGCCGCTTAGGTGAGAGCTAAACTGACAGATTCTGATTGTGGAATGACTGCAGAAGGCTATTTTACTGGCTGTTGTTTTCATTGACTTTCATGCACTGCAGGGGGGAGAGAAAAGCAGAAATGTACTTAAATAGAAAAGTAAAGACAAAATACTCATGTTCCAAGAGCACTTGACTGGGAAACATGAAGGTTTTGAGTTCAGACTGTACATTATGAAGTTGTGAAGACTGAGGAGGAGTAACCTAATGAACTCCTTTAGCTAGGCGGGTAATGGTTGTTTTGAAGAGTGTATGCTGAAACATTATCATCATCTTCAAAAGTCTTAGCAAGGAATATTTGAATTCTTCCTCCTGCGAGCAATCGTTCATGAACAACCGAGGCATTATTTTTCATGTTTTATTGCCTGACACTTAAAAATGACACAGTATTTTAAAGAAAAGACTGAAATGGCTTGCTTTATACAGGAAAGGTGTTAGAATTTGATTTTTTTTAAATAATTTTTTTCACCATTGCTGTTGCAGTGCAGTTTCAGTGCTTCTCTCCACATTTTTCTTTCTTTTTTTTTTTTTTTTTTTTTTTTTTAAAATAGGTTGCAAACAAAATGGCACTAAACTTGGCGATGTAATACTCCCCCCATGGGCAAAAGGAGATCCTCGTGAATTTATCAGAGTTCATCGGGAGGTAATTTGCATTTTAATAATGACAATAGAAAATGTCAGTTGGGACTTTCCACTGCACATTAATCTAAGCTCAATTCATGCAGTCACAGCTACTAGCCAGTCCATGAGTTCTGGGTTGATGGCTGATTGTTGCAAAGGTCTGTAGAACCGGTGTTTCCTCCACTTCTTTTTTGGCTAGGGAGTACATTGAGGCAAGACTTGCTTCAACGAAAAGCTTTATCAAAATATAACAAGAATATGTCAAAATATATTATGCATTTTTCTTTGTGGCAGGTTTAGTAGACTCAATTGATGACTGAAAAAAACTATGTCTAGTTTTAATGCATGCCCTTTGAATTTCAGGCTCTGGAATGTGACTTTGTGAGTGCACATCTGCATGAGTGGATTGACTTGGTGTTTGGCTATAAACAGCAAGGTCCTGCTGCAGTAGAAGCTGTAAATGTCTTCCACCATCTCTTCTATGAGGGGCAAGTGGACATATATAACATCAATGATCCGTTAAAAGAGACAGCTACCATAGGATTCATTAATAACTTTGGACAGATACCAAAGCAGGTATACCCTTCATGGAATTCTTATTTGCCAGATTACACTCGAATTGAAATGTATTAATATACAACAGGAGAGCGTTTTAGGAGTGAAACTTCCTGGGAGTGTTTTTGCATAAATATTCTTCCAGTGATGTGAAATCATTTACATTTCCGTCATAAATGCAATGAAGATCAACTTTGGGCTTTGCTTGTGAGATTAGAAATGTCTTTTTTTTCCCCTTTGCACCCTTAAAATAAAGGCGAAATGAATTATGGGAATTATGGTTCAACTCTAAAAATCAGCATCAAAAAAAATTAAGTATGTTCCTGCTGCAAAGTCAGAGGGGAGCAGTGAAAGTGCAAGTTCAAAGTAATGCCTAGTGTTTAGGTATTTTAAGTTATCCTGTAATAAAATAATTTCTGTAGTAACTTACGCTTCCTTTTTTTTTTTTTTTTTTTTACACCAGTCTCTTGGTGTTCTGCAGGGCTTGGCCACATCTTTTATTTGAAGAATCTGTTGAAAAAAAACCTCAAAATCTAAATTAAGAAGATTGACTCTTGTAGGACAGCTATAGTTAAGGAGCGATATAGACACATTTTTGGTGCAGCTTTAAAGTTTGTATTCTCTTTAAGAGATTACATTAAATTATTAAATGTAATATTAAATCTAAAGTCTTACTGTGTGGGTTTTGAGGTTTTTTTGGGGGGTTGAAGGTTTCTTTCTTTCTCTCTCCTCTCTCCCCCACCCTACCCCACCCCCCCAATTAGGCATTTCTTTAGGGTTTTTTTGGTGTCCAGTGAAACTTTTAAATGTCATCGGTGAGTTTTTCCAATCCTAGATCTGGTGGAAACCACAGATGCCTTCAGCAATTCACTGGGAACCCAACCCACGTGTTGGGAACTCTAGACTACAACAGCACATAATGCTTCAAGACAGCCACAGGACATTTCCTGTGGGGACCCACTAACAGCTGTCTGTCTCTCATTGCTTGGAAGGAAGGCTAAGAACTGCTCATCTGTCCTCTGTGCCTGCTTTCCTCCTTTTCCTTCCTTGCTCTCTCTCAATAATCTAGATATGTAGTGGCTGTGGGATTTTCTCCTCTTAAGTAATAATCAGTCATTGGGTTGTGATGATAATTAGCCATGGCCCAGCTAAAGCCAGATGAACAGATTAAAGACTGCGGCTGCGAGCAGGGCAATGGAAGAGCATTGCAGCTGAGTCTGAAGGTCTGCCTGAATCTTCAGATGCCTGTTAGGTACAAGCCTATGATGAGATCTACCAGAAATTGCATGACGCTTTCCTAGAGGAAATAGGCAGACTGCAATAAACTTGGGAAACTCAAAACTCCTTCCTTAAGTCATTTTTGGTGGTGAGTGCTCTTGGAGCACATTTTTATATAACTGTAGAGTTTTGCTATGACCCTCTGTGACTTTCCACAGGGGATCTAGGGCAGGCTATCCCAAGTGACGTGGCTGCTGTGCACTTTTTCACTCCTTTGCTGCATGGAGATGTAACAGGAGGACTACATCTTCTTTATCCCATCTCTTCCACCAGTAATGCCCCTGGTAGTTCTGCTTCCCATTTTAAAAAGTTGTGCTGCAAAACATTCCAGAGCTGGTGCTACGTTTGGAAGAGGGCCCTCGCAGGCTCTGTGAGGGTCCTGAGATGCCACAGCCTGGGGGGGTAGAACAGAATGAATAAGCAAGAGGAACAGTCGCTCAAAGGAGAAAGGGGTTGTTTTTCTTGCTGGAACTGGTGTTTTTTGAGATCAGTTGTCCATGTGAACTCTGTGTGATGTGCCTTCTCTCTCCATCTTTTCATAGCCCAGCCAGATAGGAGGCATGCTGTAGTTCAGGGAGAGCTGTGGCACGTAGGCCTGTTGTTACCCTTCGTATCCAGAGTGCAGGTGCAAGCAGTAGAAACGTGTGTGCATGCTTATAGCTCAGCTGCCTCAGGCTTATGCGTGTTCCCTCTGCTTTGGATAGGCAAACAGGTAACACATTTCAAAGGGCTGTAAGGAAAATAACTTTCAGAATTGGAATTTCAGTTCTCCTTTAGTGCTGTAGTAGCCTCTCTGCGAAAGAGTAATCGAAATCTTACAAAATATCACTCAATGTTTATATTTGTCATTTACATATTATAATACATACCATCTACTATCTAAGATGTTTATTATGAATTTATCACGTAATAAACTTTAGTGGGTGTCATTGATGATCACGGCTTATTAGAAGCGATGATCGGCTTGTTTAACCTGTCTGAGATACCAGGAACAGTCACTGAAGCAGTAAAATGGAAATTCAATCACTCGTAATGAAAAGCTAGGCAGAAGATAATCAGGTGCTAAGATGCATTTCTTGTGTGTGATTGTCATATGTGGTCCTATTACATGCCCACCCATGCTGTTACTCTATTCTTTGGTAGCCTGGCTGCCTCCAAGTACATGAGCTGCTGTTTGTGGGACACAGTTTGTTCCAAAGCCAAAAATTAGTTTTCACTTTGTCCTAGATTAGAATTTAGTACCGTGTTATGCATCAACTTTGGGATTTTTGCTTGCTTTACTTCAACTGCTTTTGCAACTAGAGGTAGCTTTAAAAATACTTTGCTCGTTACATCCTTGTTGGATTTCATATTATTTGTTGAAGTCTTATTGAAATGGTTGCCATAAGTTATTAGTGAATAGTGAGAACAGTTAAGTAACATCTACTGACCTGCAGAATTTTTAGAAAATAAATTGGATGTACTGATGATCTTTTTAATCTTGTGCTCTTGTAAACCTGTAATTTTTGATGATAATTAATTTCTTGATGAATTTCAGCTCTTTAAAAAACCACACCCACCGAAGCGTGTTAGAAGCCGACTGAATGGAGAGGCTGTGGGAACCTCTGTGCCCCCTGGTTCCACAAGTGACAAGATTTTTTTCCATCATTTGGACAACCTGCGGCCATCTCTTGCCCCAGTGAAAGGTAAACTGTAAAACAACGGTAATTATTCCTGTTTCTTTGCCAGAGCATTCAGAGCTTCAGCAAGATTGTCCTTTTCCATGTTTTGCTTAGTTTTAATGTTCTTAATGCCTATACTTTTGTGAGAAGGACAAATTTGAAATACCCTAGTGCTGTAAGATTATGTTCTTAGCTACCTTAAAGTGTACTTGGGAAGCACCAAATCTGTGCTGCTTTAATATAACTTCTTTAAAATAGAGGGATAAAACTGGGCCCAAGCACCTCTTTAAAGTTTTAATTTAACAAACAATATTCAGGGTACATTGCTTCTGGGCCTGCGATAGCCTCAATTTTTGTGATTTTCGTAGCAGAAGGATTCTTTATCGCAGTGCCAGGAAATACTGAGAAATGTTGGCAGGAAAGGGTGGTGTTGGTAGCTGCACTGAGACGAAAAAAGGTGTTTTTTTACTTCCTATCTGACATTGGACTGAAGAAAAGTTAATCGTCTGTGAGGCAGGTAAATGCTATACAGTGATTTTTTTCCTAGTTGATTTAATGAATCTGTGCCTGCCTGCTGTAAAGAGAGAAGGACATACTATTACACAGAACGTAGCAGGACTGCACTCTAAGGCAGGAAATTAGAAAGCACTAATCTATATTTGCAAAGCTTGAGGAAAAACAGGTAGGACACCACGGGCTGTAGTCAGGAATGTAGCCTGTGGGAACGCTTGGCCGAGATGTTGGAATCGATACCAAAAAGTTATTTTTACTTGTGCTGAAAATGGTACAATCACTTTTAATGACCACAGACATCTTGTCTGAAGAACACCTTGTGCAGCATCGCAGGTGGAATCAGAGCTATCTGTGATCCTCGGGATGTTCTTGCCACTACTACTACTACTGATGATGCTTAGCCCTGCCTTTGTTAGGAATGTAGCAAAAGTTGCCATCGTTGCAGTTGAAACAAAGATTTGTATAACATAGCCAATACAGAGATCCTGCTTTTGCAGAGCATCAGGTATTTAATGGGATCAGATAGTATTTGTCTGTGCTAGCAATAAAACATAACCCCATCTTCTGTTTTAGAGCTCAAGGAGCCTGTGGGACAGATTGTGTGTACTGATAAAGGCATTCTGGCAGTAGAACAGAATAAGGTTCTCATCCCACCTACATGGAATAAAACTTTTGCTTGGGGCTATGCAGACCTCAGCTGTAGACTGGGTACCTACGAGTCGGACAAGGTTTGTAATCTGAAATTTGTTTCAGTGCTGAATGTACCAAAAGCAGTTAGTACTCAATAGTGAAAAAATCTAACAATGGAAATCTTATTTCACATGTGAATGAAATAATCTTGTACTGCGTATGTTTTATTGCTTCCTGTCTGGTGGTCTTCATCAGAACGCTGGCAAAATGACATAAACCAATTAATAATAATTTTTTACCAGGTCTGCAAAACAGAAATGAATTAAATCTATGCAGTTAAAGCTCATCTTTCGTGTTCTGTTGGGAGGGATCTTATGGCAGAGGCTGGAATTGCATCTGTTTGAGGAAAAACTACGTAAGGGGTAGCAGCAATATCTTAGTTACTTAATGGTCCAGCATGCAGGGTGGCACTCAGGTTTTTATTTTTATCCTGCCAAACACTAATCCTGCAAGCAATTCTTCCTTGTTTTCTTTATTTTTAGGCAGTAATTGTTTATGAATGTTTGTCAGAATGGGGTCAGATACTGTGTGCCATTTGCCCCAACCCCAAACTAGTTATCACTGGAGGAACAAGCACAGCGGTGTGTGTGTGGGAAATGGGCATCTCCAAAGAAAAAGCTAAAGCGCTCACACTGAAACAGGTAAAATACAATAAAGATGCCTTTTACATAAATTATGTTACAAGATCAAAGGAATTATGAAAGGGGTATTGCTCACATAGTAAGCTTTGAAACCATGAGTCCAGCAGACCTTTGGAGAACTGAGTAGTCGAGGTACTGATCTGCATTGAAAGTGGGCAAAATGTGTCTTTAAAATTGCATCATTTTTAAGGATAGTTGATCATCAGGAGCTTTTTGGAGAGATGGGGAATTTGGTAGCGATGTTAACAAAATTTTACAGGTGTGTTTTGTGGAATCACCTGCTTTATTGTAGTGTTGTATGTAAAATACCCCAATCTGAAAACTGTGTCAGGGAGGACAGTGAAGGAGACTGTCTCAAAGGTTCATTTTCCTTTTAAAATTTTTTTAAATTACTTTTTTCTTTAAAAATGTATATATTTAATTACATTTCTGCGCAAAACTTTGCTCTTTCTGGCAGTGATGTTTGTGGAGCAGAGTATACTTGTTCAGGATCACCTTAAGTTGTTCTTGCTTTGTTAATTCAAAACATCAACTTTTAATCTAACAAATGAGCACCCATGCTTTAAAGTCAGTTGCAGCTAAGTGCAGAGTAAGTCTTGTGTGTTTACAAAAAAAAAAAAAAACAAACAACCCCAAACCCACAAACAAAACAAAACAAAAAAAACCCAACTACCTCAAAATATTCTAGAAGCTGTGTGTCATTGTTACAGGTAGCTAGGTTGTTAAGTGTTACTGTTCCTGTTAGCATCTTGATAGCAGGGCTTTTTCTGGAGGAAAGCTTCCACTCAAACTTAAGAAATCTAGAGAATTATTTAACAACTTCCCTTGTGTGGTCTCCAACAACTATCCAAAGCTGTGTTTCCAAAGCATTTTACTTAAGAACAGTGCAAGATAAAACACTGTATCTTGAATTTCAAGGCAGCATATTGAAGGCCATTTACTGTACTTTCACCAATGATTTGTAACTGAGTAAGCTGCAATAATCTGACTGTATTCCAGACTCCTATTCCAATGGTTAGGTTAAGCCTAAAATTAGTTTAGGTTAAGCAGGGTCTGATACAAGTAAATGCTTGTAATTTTCTCCTCCTTCCAATTGACTTTGCCTTTTTGATTGCAACCCTTTCTTGCCTCTTTTATCTTTTCTCAAACATCAACAGAAGTTTATATAGGAGCTATTTTATATTTACAAAGAATTTCTGTTTTCAGAATGTACTTTCAGGTGCAGCCTGGAACATACTGACCCTATAAATAGGCTACTGATGCAGATGGAGGATGCAGAAAGTGTTGGAAGTTTATTTTGGGTTTTTTTTCCGGTAGAAGGCTATATAACATTAGACCCTGGAAATCTGGTTTTGTAAGAGTACTTTTTAAATGGAAAAAAATACTACTCCTATCATTTTTAATTATGAAAATAGTTGCCAACTGAATACTTGTAAGTCAGTTGCATCTTCTGATAGGTTATTCATGTTTATGTTATCTGAATCTTTTCAGATAAGTGGGTTTAATGTAGTAACTTTTGTGCTCTCTCCTGATTGCAGCTTGTTCCTCTTGACTTTTGTTTTGCAGGCATTACTGGGTCATACTGACACTGTCACATGCTTAACAGCATCGCTGGCTTATCACATAATTGTGAGTGGATCACGGGATCGCACCTGCATCATCTGGGATTTGAATAAACTGTCTTTTCTAACACAGCTTCGAGGTCACAGGGCTCCAGTTTCGGCACTCTGTATAAATGAATTAACGGTAAGAACCACATACCATTCACCAACGTGCAGTGGGAACAGTAACAAGAGTCAGAAATTGTTAAACCGAATAAAAACAAACTAGGCTGTCCTGTTAGTTTGGCAAAACTTGTATAACTCATCTGAAAACTAATTAGCTGGTTTAAGGAATAATTTGCATCTTTTTTCCAGAGACGCATGTGGGTTTATTCCATGCAGAGTGGCTTGAGCTCAGAAGGGCTTAACACTGCTGGCAGCAGAATAGCTAGCGTGGCGTTCAAAGTGGGTTGTCAAACCTGCCACAGGAGCTAAGAAAAGATTTTGATATGTGACCTTGGTTGACTTCTGTTCTCTTATGCTTAATTTAAAGGAAACAGAAGATGCCTTGGATGAAGCTGCAATTGTAGTGGAAACAGACATATCCTAAAAGCTTGTCTCCCTGGTGGTCCTATAAGTTACGGGTTGCCGTTTATCCAGCTCCCATGCACATCAAAGAACTTGCCTGAATTGAAACTTTATGTAGCTGGTGCATCAGAGCTGGGTGGACCATGTTGCAACTGGAGCAGATGTAGCAGTTGAAATCAAGACAGAAGGGGGCTGTAACGCAAGGAGGGGGTAGCAAGAGGCACAGTTTATTACCTGCTAGTAGTCTGGTGGTTGTAGTGTTGCCAGTGTTCTAGACTGCAGCTCCCGTTTCCCCTCTGCACTAGTTTGGACCATGTCTTGTTCTTTTCCCAATAAGGAAGCAAATGGAATTTAAGGTGGTACATGTTTGTGAAAAAGAGCGGAGTCAACATGAGCAGAGTCTTTGAAAACTGAGAGGGGAAAGTGCTGAAAATATGCTGTTGGATTGTTATGCTGTGAAAAGTGGAGGAATTGGTCTACTCATTGTATGCTCTAAATACAACAAATAGGTTGCTACTAAGTCTGGCTTTCTAGGTACAATTTTAAAAAAATTTATATCGTCCTAAAGATTTGTTTAGGTGGCCAAATTCAACTTGAATAAAACTTCCCGAAAAGTGCCAGCCTTGATGGCTGAACTTGGCTCATAAATGAACCTGGCTTATATTTTTGCTGAAGAAAACCTGAGACTTGTATTGAAATATGGAGGTGTTACGTGTCTTTGCAGGGGGATATTGTGTCGTGTGCTGGCACTTACATCCATGTATGGAGCATTAATGGCAGCCCTACCGCAAGCGTGAACACTTTTACTGGCCGAAGCCAGCAAATAATGTGTTGCTTTGTGTCAGAGATGAATGAGTGGGATACCCAGAATGTCATAGTAACGGGACATTCGGACGGAGTTGTTCGGGTAAGTACCAGGGATCACTGCTTGGAAAAATAAGTTTACGCCGTAGTAGTAGTAGTAGTAGTAGTTAGAGAAGTCATGTCTATCCAACACAGTGTCCTGGCCAGTACCAAAAGCAGTCCTGCTATACTTGGGTGCTCCACCTGAACAATTAGTCCTGCAGGAGGGAGGGAGTCCAGGCTGGGTAGACAAGGCAGACTGCTTTTGGCTCTGGAACCAGCTGTGCCATTTCTGCACGGGGTGGTGCACTGTATCCTGTCCACGAGTTAGATGGACATTGAAGATTCATGGAAGACTCAGTGAGCTGACACTCCTATCCAGTCTTTCAGTTTTCTTTCTCCTTCTCGATGTACCTGTTGTAATGTGGCAACTAGCAACAGTCAGCAGCATACATTTTCCTTCCTGCTCTATTTTGGTCACTTTTTGGTCACCAGCTTTCATGCCTGGAGATTGTAGTTTTCATTCACCATTTTTATTCTACCCACCTTGAGACAATTAATTTTGCTGCCTAGAAAGAAAAGAGGAACTTAGTGGCATCTCTGATCACTGCGAGTCTAACCCAATTTTCAGTACTTCGCTGTGTGCAGTCTTGCGTCTGCCTTAACTGGAGTCTGCTGGTCAGATTGCTATGTGGAGTGGATTTTTTTTATTCGAACAGCTAAGATGTTGAATAACAGCACAAGATTTGTTCACTTGTGATTCAGGCATGAACACAGATGTCCTTTTATAGTACCTTGCCCCCGAAAACAGGGCTTAGTATGAAGATGTGACCTGCCTCTCGTACTACCAGTGCAAACGCAGAGTTCTAATAAGCCATCTTAACTCTGCAAGTAGCTCAGAAGAAAGCTAAGAGTTTAGAATGTGCCACTTTGCTTATCCCCTGTCCCTCCAGTTCTGGCGGATGGAGTTTTTGCAAGTACCAGAAACACCAGCTCCAGAGCCTGTGGAGATGCTGGAAATGCAAGAGGATTGTCAGGAAGCACAAATAGGTATGTCTCTTGACCAGTGTTTTGTATTTGCCTTTTATCTGATCTTCGCTATACGTAGGTAAAATCCTGTGGTTATACAGTGCAGAATGGAGGATGGGGATTTTGTCTCAAAAGACAATAGACATCCAGTGGGCATAATAAATAGAGCATCTGAGTTCTTTGTTCACCAACTACGGTATTTCCATATTTTTCTGTGAAGACTGAACTTTTCTCTGTGGTGTTGTTTCTGCTATTGGTGAATTCAGTGGATGTTACCATTGTCCAAAAGCTAGATTTTTTTTTTTTTTTTTTTGAAATGGAATTATAGCGTAACAGCAGAGTTAAAAAAAAAAAATCTACTGATAGAGCAGCATGCTGTTTAGACAAGCAATGCTGGCCGTATCATTTTCCCCTGTCAGAAGATTTTGGTCTGTGCTTGATGGGTGTTTCTTCTAGCCATCTCATCTTCCTTTTGCCCTTTTCATATTGAAGGTATGATCTAGATTTGGATCCAGATCACTTGATACTCATTAGTAATTATTATATAAACACAGCTCTTTTTTTTCAGTGTCACGAGGAATATAAGTATCTTTGGCAGTTGCTTTTTTTTGTATTAACAAAACCTGTTACTAACAAATCTGCATCATGTTTCTCAGTCAACTGGAGTTTCAGCATAGCTGACTCTGCTTACTTGTGTAAGTTTTGCTGAAAGGCAGCAGGATTTCGTTTTGCTAACTTGAGCATTTTGAAAATTTTACTTATTGTGTCTATCATAGCCTACCTCAGGTGGACTATTGTAGGAAATAGCTTCAGCTAAGGAGTGCTGTTTTCTGACAGACCAGTGCAAAAAAGATGAATAGTGTGATTCCTGGCAGGAGCTGAATCTCTGCAAAGGCTTTGAGATGCCTGCATGCAGTTTCCCTCTAGTCATGCTGTGATGGTACCTGTTGGGTTGTAGGTAGTGTAGCAGCAGAATAGGGAAAAAGCTCAGACTATAAGCAGCCTTGCTAACAACGTCTTCTGTCCTGTTGAGTGAATCCAGGGCAGGAAGCCCATGAAGAGGACAGCAGTGACTCCGAGGCAGATGATCCATGCATAGGCCAGGACACAAAACTGCAGGAGAGCCAGAGTCAACCAAGCAGCACCAGCCACAGGCCTAGGTCATCATCAAACAGAGCAGCAGCAGCATGGTCAGCAGACAGCGGCTCTGATGACTCCAGGCGTTGGTCAGACCAGCTCAGCTTGGATGAGAAAGATGGCTTTATCTTTGTGAATTATTCTGAGGGACAAGCAAAAATGCATCCCCATGCTCAGGTTAACCACCCGCACCCCAGCTATGCTGAAGCACGGCACTACAGCAAGCTTAAACCAGGTAAAAGAAATTGGGCACACTTCCTCTGTCAGATAAATGTGTTGTCAACACTTCCCCATAAGGCAGTCTCTCTCTGTCTATGCAGCATTGAGCAGGGTTGGCTCATAAATTCCAAAACAGTCAGTGAAGAGAAAAAATTGTGTGCAAAGGTTGCATGTTGTTCAAGCTTTTCCTGAGAAGCTGTGGTCAGTTTACCCTGGCCAGCAGCTAAGCCACTCACTCGCCACCACCATCACAACCTCCTGCAGCGGGATGGCGGAGAGAATAGAAAGAACAAAAGCCAGGGAACTCACGAGTCGAGATAAGAATAGTCTAATAAGCAAAGGAAAGAGGAAGACAAAACAAGTGATGCAAAGGCAATCATTCGCCACCTCCCGCAAGCAGAATGATGACCAGCCAGTCTCTGAGCAAATGGCTGCCTTCCCCAGAAACCCCTCCTCTCAGTTTTATTGCTGAGCATGATGTTATATGGTGTGGAATATCCTTTTGGTCAGTTTGAGTCAGCTGTCCAGCTTGGTCCCCTCCCAACTTACTGCGCACCTCCAAACTCCTGGTGGGGGGTGAGGGCCAGAGCCAAGTGGGGAAAAAGAGAAACCACTCTGCAAGTACTGCTGAACTACAGCCAAAACACTGATACGTCATCAAAACTGTTTTAGTCATATACCCAAAACACAGCATCATGTGAGCTTTTATGAAGAAAATTCTTACGGAAATCCGAGTCTTGACTTCAAAAATAAATTTAAAAAAAAAAAAAAAATGACGCTAGCCCAGGCTTTGGTACAGGGCTTCCTTGTGTATGTCACCATTCTCTGCAGGTCCCAACTGGACTTAGAGAACTTGGAGGCTCTCTGCATTGTTTTGTATCCTCTCCTTTCTTACATACATTGGGGAGCAGTTGAAAAAATGCATTTTCCCGGAATGAAACTTGAGTCATAGAGAGTTATCTCTAGGGGGAGATTTTTTCTTTCTACAAAGTCACACATAGGTATATTGGGGGGGGAGGGAACAAAAATGAGAACAAGAAAATTCGCTATTTCCCCTCCTACTTCCCGCTCATTTCTAGGATACAGATGGGAGCGTCAGTTGGTGTTTAGAAGCAAACTAACTATGCACACGGCATTTGATCGCAAAGACAACGCACATCCAGCAGAAATCACTGCACTTGGCATCTCTAAGTGAGTAGCTCACAAGCGATTGCTTAAAACATTTTTTCAGTGTTGTCAGCGGGAAGCGGTATGAACCAGCCATTGTTCTTTGCATAATGCTGTTTTGTGGTTTGTCTGTTTAGGGCAGCCTTGTTCAAGGACTGAGATTAAAAAAATACTAAAATAAGTAGACTTATTCACCTGCATTATGTTACATAGAGTGTTGTTATAGCTCCATGTCTCAGTCGGACCAGGCTAATTTGTCCATTAGTTACTATGCCAGTAGTTTAACATACTACATGTTCTGACAGGTAAACTCAGTTATCGATGTCTGTGCGTTACTGTGCCAGACTTGTTGCAGGATTTTTCTTGCAGGGATCACAGCAGAATTCTTATTGGGGATGGTCGAGGCAGAGTGTTCAGCTGGTCTGTAAGCGATCAGCCTGGCCGATCTGCAGCTGATCACTGGGTGAAGGACGAGGGGGGAGACAGCTGTTCGGGCTGCGCAGTCCGTTTTTCACTCACTGAGAGGCGTCACCATTGCAGGAACTGTGGACAGCTCTTCTGCCAGAAGTAAGCCAGCCAACAGTCTCCTTTGGGCTCTTCTCCATACAGAATTTTAGGTTGGGTAAAGCTGTTGCATACCACGGAACTCTGCTGAAAGACTGAGGTTTCCCTTACCAAAACAGAACTGATAAAGAAAAAACATCAAAACCCTCAAAATTTCCAGGGAGGAATTAGAAAAGACAGACCAGCCCCTTTATAAATCCAGTTAGCAAGACACATATTAGGAAAGAAATCTACTTGCAGCTTTGAAAACCTCCCTGTTGCCCATCTTGGGAAAAACTCTAGACAACTTAGCAAAAAAAAAACCCCACCCAACAAACTTCTTTTGCAGCAACAGTCAGTCTACAAGCAACCCAGTCAAAATGTAAACTGTGTGCAGGACTGTAAGGGTGCTGATTTAGGAGCCAGTGGCATGCAGCCTCAGATAGGAAAATGCATGACACAGAGGATGTATGTGAGCTCCCCTTACCCAGGAACTGAGGTGGAAGTCTCTTCTCTGGTCCACTGGGTCAGAGACAGTATTTCTACTTTCATCTCTGTGGCTATATTTTGAGTCTAAATTGGTGACAACAGCTGCTTTTAAGCTACCTCTCACGCAGTCATTGCATTGATTCTGTGGTGATCATGCAAGTTAAATTCTGCTTTTGCCGCACTGCATTGCATTTCTTTGTCAGGATAAGTTTGGACAATTTTCTGGTATTCGAAGTCATGATGGTAACTGCCACACCTGGATAGAAAATGGCCACGTCAAGAGAGGACCTATGTTCACAGCAATGTTTGTTTTCTTCTACAGGTGCAGTAGGTTTCAGTCCGAAATCAAGCGTCTGAAGATTTCATCACCAGTCAGAGTCTGCCAGAACTGCTTCTACAACCTGCAGCATGAGCGGGGTTCGGAGGAGGGGCCCAGAAACTGATGGGGTCCTGGCAAATAGAGACCCCATCCAATGCCACTGTCACTCCAAGAACTAGTGAGAGTATCGTGCAGTGATCGGAAGGGATTAGAATATTGTCTGTTTACACTTAAGTTTATACTGAGTTTTAAGCACTAAAAGTAAAAAGGGATCATTGAATTGATTTGTGTTGACAGAAGGTAAATGAGGCTAACAGCATAATTAAGTGAAGAGCGAGGCCCAGGAAGACATGATTAATAACCACAAATCCAATAGAACTGTCAACCCCTAAACCTATGTTGACGTGGCTATCGAGAAAATCCTCACTTATCCTAAACACCCGTTCTTGTCTTGTTTTTGTAGAGCTAGTCATCTTTATCGGGGGGGAGGGGGAAGGGAAGGCTTTTTAGAAGATAGTTGTAAATCTGCCTTCTTCGCAAGCAACTGTGTATATTGTAAATAGGTATAATGGCCTTTTTATCTAAATATGAACTTAACTGCCTGTTACATGGGACTTCAGATTAACCACTATACTTTGTGTGGCATCTTTATCTCATCTATCAATTTAAATACGAATGTTTAAAAAAAAAAAAAAAAAACCAAGAAAACTCGAAGGCATTATGCGTGTTTCTGTTAAAAAATTAGTCTGTGCATGTTTGTTCTTTCAGTTGCCCACAGTATCTTAATTTAAGTAAGGCTATTCATAGAATTACATGGATTTTTTCAAAAGAAAACATTTTTGAGAATAGGACTTGGAGTATTTTATTCTAGCTGTAAGATAACCAGGAACTAAATTGTACACTTGTGTTGCATTTTATACCAAACTATTTACCACCTCAGTGTTGTTCATATTTAATAAGGCCTCTTTTATACATATGTCAGAGCTGCAGTTTTGTTAATTACTTAATGTTCATTAGCAGCTGATTCATGCAGTGCAAGAACCAGCTTTTACCTTCTTTAGTCAATAGCAATTGGCTTGCATATAAGTACAGAATTAATTCCTTGTGCATAAAATTTAACCGCTGTTGTCCTGTAGCTTGTTTGCAAAAAAACTTTTGGAACAATAGGCATTGGTCTAAAACAGGGTGATATTAGTCATGTCAGAAATGCTTCTAAGAGCTATCTTCGTGTTTCAGCACATGGCATCAACTTGAGAACAGCAGTAGATTTCCATTATGGTTTTTAAGTTCCAATATGAATTTAATTGCAGTATTTTTTTACTACTCTGTCATTTATTTTGCACTACACATGGGATGAAGTAGAGACTGATATCCACTGGGATTGGAACACGTGCATCAGATACGCCCATGGACTTAATTTCTGAATGAGGTCTTGCCAGTGGGTTTTTGGTTGGGCTGGGGAGGCGGGGATGGG